GTTATGACACATGCATGAGTGTACGTTGACTTGGTGCTTTATAAAGAGAATTGGCTATAACTGTAAAATGACTGAGGCATTTTTACTGAGAACAACAAGGATACATGAACTTTCTTATGCACAGAGCCCTAAATACTTGGTCAGAAAAAATCCTATCCTGGCTCAGAGCTGGATTAGAAATATCAGTCAATCTGTTTCCCATATCTAACTCCTAGGATTAAAAGGATCATCTCTACATGTACTAAACTGCCTAATTAAAAATTCTATTTTTATAAACTAATGCATTTTTATCTCAACACAATCACATACTATACTACAGAGTATGTGTACAGTGTTGCTCACATGTACAGTTATGTGGCTTAACAATTTCATATGTTGTGAAGCTAGTGCAATAGATTTTATAAGGTGTGGTTTAAAGAAAATCCATCTTCTCACTTGATGGAGACCAGAATTATGATTTTCATTAAAAGATTAAGAAATGTTCTCTCTTTTATCTAGAAAAGATGTAAAGCCATAAATTTTACTGTAAATTTAAACCATAAGTCATTTTATACCTGTAAGTAACAGGCTAAAGAACTTGTACCTATAGATAGGGGTCTATCCAACTTGAGGAGGTGGCTAGCCGATTTTGTGGGGAGGTTGAGGGGCCAGCTGCCATTTTCATGGGCTGTGCCAGAAATCTCCCACATCTCGGATTGGCTGAGGGGCCTGGTGGCCCTGCTCCTCACCCAATTGACTGCAAAGGCTGTCCATCATATGGACCCACCCCTTGCCACTGATTGGTTGTGAGGGCTCTCAGTCATACAGCCCCAACCCTCACTGCTAACTGGTGGAGATGGGTAAGACCACATGACAGGCAACCCTCTCAGCCAATCAGCGACAAGGGCCGAGGGCGGCCACTATTTTGGACTCCCCTGTGCGCCAGTGTCCCCCTTCTCCCTCCTTCCCCCTCCCGTGAGCTTTGTGGCCAGGCCACAGCACTGTGAGGACTGCTGGCTCCCCCTAGGGAGCCAGCATTTTATTTTCGGTAAGTTTTTTTTTCTTTTTTGGTGACTTCATGGACATTGCCCGCTGAGTTTCACATTTTCTGTGAAATTGTGATTTCAGTATGTCCCTACCTATAGATAGCTACAGATAATTTATCTAGAATAAATATTCTGTCTGACAGTGAAATACGCAAGTTCTTCAATTGGCAATGCCTGTTTTTTTTTCTTTTTTGGATAGTAATATCCACCTGTCATTCCCACACATACTCTTGAATATTCTCTGAGTATAAACCTTTTTAGGCAGTTCTTCTGAATCCCATTGCTGGCATCAGGATGCTGTAACAGTTGCCTTGCAAGTGGTAAAAGAGGGACCCCTCCCATCAAGCCATGAAAGTCCATTTTGATGTTCCTGTAACATGGTACAAACTCCAAAGACATTTTTTGATTGATTGAATGCCCTGGAAGGTAATGAGCAGCAGATCCATCAAAACCACAGCTATCTCATAGCTGTGGCAATGAAGGGTGGTAACTCTGTGTATACTGCAGGGTTCAGAGGTACAATTAGAATGTCCTAGTGCTTGATATGAATAATGTGTTTGCTTTTACGGGAGCACTATGAGATTTATGGTAAGTTCAGATGTACGCTTTTAAATGCTTACATTTTGTAAATGATGTGATAGGAACTAGAATGTTGTTATTTATCAACTTTTACATTTTTTTTAAATGGAGAGATTTTTATATTGTTCTCTTGCTTGTATATATGAGCAGACTCAAATACGCAGAGCAAACCACACCTAATTTTCCTAGATTTTTTTTTTTTAGTTTAGTTTACTGCTGTAATTTAAATCACAAGCAAATACATGCTGGCTGTCATTGCTGCCTACAGTCTGCTTTATTAGTTGACTTATAACAATGGTCCATAAGTCAGGGTTAAATAAATCAATGTAACCAGCAGCCACAGCAGTGATCACACTAGTCAGGATATATATAAATAAAAAAAATCTAAAATGTAAAAGGGGAGCAGTGGTGTCTGTTTGCTTAGTGGTAGACACAGACAATGCCTGTACACGAGCATGGTGCCTGCTCTGATGTGCTGTAATTACAATGCGTCAGAGCAGACTCAATTAACTAAGTCTGCTGAAGCACAGTAATTACCTTGCTCCAGCAGCCTCCTGCATCTCATGTATCAGCATCCCCACACTTCAAAATGGAGGCGGGGGCACTTGAACTAAAATTCGTCAAATGAGCTTTAGTTCAAGTGTCCCCGCTACCATTTTGAAGCACAAAGACAATGACACATGAGATGCTGCAGTGTTTTAATTAGAGTGACTCTTAGAGCCAGTCTAATTCAAGTGCCACCCCCCACCCTTGGAGCACGTATAAAAGTGCCCAGAAGGATTTTAATTTAGTGCTGATACTACCAAATAGTTGCCATTAATTGCTAATTGCTCTAACTGCATCTGTTAAAATCAAGTTTGTATGAATCCAGCGTTGCCCTCTGCTGGATGTAATGGAGTTCTTAAGAGTTTGGGGCACTCACTTTTCTAATGGCTGGCAAATTTTCATACTACTAGGTTTGTCCTTTCATACAAATAGTCCAGGATAGTGCGCTGGGAGGAGAATTTTGAGAGTGCACCATTCTATTCACCTAAGTATGATCTACCACCTCTCTGTTCCTAGCTAGAAATCAATTATATGTCGACTTGGCTTTTGCAGAGCTAGTCCTGCCACTGGCTAAGGACAGAGGGGGAAAAGTACAGTTGTGAATAACAGCAGCAGCTGTGAACAACAATTTTTTCAGTGCAGCTTTTCTGTACTGTACAATGGAGAATGGCTCTTCTCTCTAAAATCAAACATGGTGGATTTTTGACTCCCAGATACGGGCCAACAATTGAAGCTGTGTCAAATTCTTAATTTCATTTTGTAAAATTGTACAACAAGTAACCCTGATTCATGAAAAGTCTTTAAAAATAGCAGCATTTGGGTCCTTATCACCAACAGCAAAGCTATTTTGGAAGGTCTGAACATTGTCATCTTTATTGGTTAAAACCCAAAAGAAAAGTAAAAGCCTCCTCTCTGGAGGAAAGGGGGCACTGTATATTGCAGTAATTTCTTCACAGCTGCAGGCAATACAGATACCTGCTGTAAAGTATAATGCGTTATTATATTTGTTTTGCAAAGTATTTCAACACCTGGTTAATGTGCCACAGAATGACATGCATGTTTTTACCCTTCTAAAGACACCTTCTAAAGTTATGAACAGACGAACGATTTATAATGAGTGTGGGGAAGAGAACTTGCCACATGTCAGCTGCTCTGCAGTAACTGTTTCCTGTGTCCACTCCTGTACCATGGTAATTGGAAGTCAAATTATGCTAACTTTGCCCTGTTTTATTCAGGGATAAGCTGTCCTTTATTAGTTTTGATCCACTGTAGGACAGCAGCAGTTTAACCTAGTATTATCAGCCTGTATTGTTGACACTTGATAATACTGTAGATGAGTACTCAAAAAAATCTCTTACAAATGCATGATAATATAGTGAACTATGTATCATCTAAACAGGACAATTCCATTACTTTTTTATATTGTGTTACTAAGGAAACTCTGCAATCCGATTCTCTCCACTTGAAAGAAAATATTTTCTTCCTAAATTTAATTATATCTTCCCAATCTTGCCACTGTCCGGAAATGTTGTACAAGCACATCCCAGTTTGCTACATGTATTACACTTCACCTACTGTGGGTTTTATATATTCCACTCATTTTCTAATTTGTGGCTTATTTCCAAGTACATCTATACTGAGTGCAATGGAAATGCATTACTAAATACACCTGGGGACATACTTATTTGATTCAGCATTTAGAATGCTCTAATTCTTTTAGTGTACAATGCTAGAAGGATTTCTTCCTACAATATACATACTATCATTCTTACCATCATCAAACAAAGAATGTTGTGATGTGTATGTAATACACAGGACATGCTTTTGTGTTGTTTTGTAGGAGTATTAGAAATCCTGTTACATTCAGAGCTCTGGGGAACTGAAACAGTGAACACCGTGCAATACGTGCAGAAAAATTCCAAGTGGATCCAAGTGTAGTCATCAAGTGGTTGCATGTATTTCCTCAGCAAGTACAGCACTGCAAATTACACACAGAACAAACCACAAATTTCCCCCTAAGCAAAGCAGTCAGTGTAAAGCCTTTATGATCATAAACTGCAAAATTCAATGCACAATGGACAGGTCCCCTTGAAGTAGAAGAACATAATGACCTGGTTACATATAAAGCAGTTTGCAAAATCTGTACTTTCTTGATGACCGTGTTGTTCTTTAGATTTAGCAGCAAAGAAGAACATGAAGTTAATAACAAACAAGTCACAAAAATCTACACTTCTTTCACACTCCATCTTTCTACAAATCAATTGCAATTTAGGATATCCAAGCTGTGCAGAAAGGTGTACTTGGCAACAGTAGGGTATGCATGCTTGTTATCTCACAGATTCTGTTACTTTGTTGATGCCAATGGTATTTCTAAATTTCACATTAAGTATACATTATGACTTTCGTGATGACTGATTTTGTGTGTTTTGATGACTTTGAATCCAGTCAAAGTTAAAACCTGATAATTTCAGAAAATGTGGGTGGCTGACGTGGTCCGTACTGTATTTTTAAATATGAATGTGAGCAACTGCAATTTTGCAGTTGCCCCTGCTCCTAGGACCAACCACCTTATCATCTTGCAATGGTTACCACGGCTTGATTGAATAAAATGTACTGGGCATGTTATAAAATAAAACAACTGGATAGTTACTTAACATGTTTTAAAGAACAAGACTACTTCAAATGGAGGCTTGTCAGTTTTAGTTGTAAAAGGATCTCAGATTGCTTGAGCTGCATTATACTGGGGGCAGCTGCAACTAGCTCTGAGCTATAGCACATTCCATTATGAATGGTAGTGAATTTATAATGGAATGGTATGGATGGTTTTTATAATCAGAAAAACACACTGACCTTAACACTACACAGGTGGAGCAGCATAATGACCCGCCAATTGTAAGCGCATCAATTCCTGGGGAAAAGTTCAATGAGGTTAACTCAGCATGTATCCCAAAACCAACATCAATGACACAGAAAACATAATGCTCTGTTTTATACACACACATATTTTTCCCTATGCCAACATTCATTTACTTAAATATCTGGAACTCAGTAATTCTTATGCATGTTAACAGCACACTGTTTTCTATCAATGGATGTTATTGTGCTACAGCATACTTGGATGCTGCTATAGTGAAATATGCTTTCCTTCCAAAAATATTGTAATCAGTAATAATGAATTTTACAGGCAGCATCATATTCTGTTTAGTTCAGGAAGGAAATAAAACACAGCAACCAGTCAAGATATAATTAACATGGACAAGTTCTGGCTTTTACAATTGCAGTAAGATGATACTTGGATTGAATGAGATTAGATGGATGTCAGTAAATGAACATCTCCTCAGACACTTCAACTACAAATAAATTAACATCAGTGTACCGTACTTGATTTGACCTGGAGCATATAATTTATATGGCACAAAAATCACAGCTGCGTTCCAGCTATACTTAGTCTGGTACCGGAGCTAAGAATATCGATAAATAACCTGTATACTCCAACTAACTATAACAAGCTTTTCATTCAAATGTTAGGAAAACCAGAGAGAGATGATCATGATGAAGTATTGAAGTTGCTAATCATTAATCACATTCTGAGCCAAAATCCACCTCACAATAGTAAGGGCTGTAGGTTCTCTCTCCAAAAAAAAACAACCTTACAACAAAAATAAATCACAGGTTTAGGAGTCTGTAATGTATGAGAATTTGTAAATATTTTTAAATTAAATTTTATTTAAAATTTTAAATAAAAAATGTAAAGCAACAGCAATTTAGTCATGCTCACTATCTTTCATTTATATCTTCAGTTCTTCTTCCCTGGGTTACTCTAATTTTCTGTTGCTTCTCCACTTTATTTCTAGAGAGGCACATGGAAACCTAAAACCCTCTCACCCACCAAGATGACAATAATCTCCCTTATCTTTTCAATCTGTCATCCTGCAATCTAAAATTAATTCTTATTCCTGCTTTTCCTCAGGGTGCTGAAGAACAGCTCAAAATGCTTATGTAGGCAGCAGAAAACCTCATAACAGCACGAACAAAAATGCTGTTGAAACGTTTACTCAACAAATCACAAACATGAACAAAGAAAGCAGATGGAAACTACTAAGAAGTCAGTAGTAAATTATATTCTTCAGAAGTATTCACCTAGAAAATAATTAATTTGTTCATGTTTTATGCACATTAAAAACCAACAGCAAAATATTTAAAAGCCATAAATAAAATAAACAAAAGAAAAAATAGATATTCTTCCATTCTAAGGGACATAATTAATTTTAGTCCTAAAATACCCCCAAGTTCCTCACAGCTATAGTGTCCCCTTGCTTTTATTAATGAAGATATTTCAATGAATCTACAGATGGCTCAAATGCGAGAAAGAGAAAGAGATGTATTTATACCAAAGAAACAAATCCCAAATGCATTCTGTATTTCCCAAATGCATCATATTTTGCTGCCCTAATTTAGAATTTCTTATACACCTAGTTCCACATTTTAGGCTCTATCTATGCCTATGCTCTCCCATGGGTATTTCCCATGTTCCTGGGCATTGCTGGTTGCCACAAAGGGCCAAGAAGGAATTTTCCCCCTCCTATTGATACACATATCAGGAGTTTTTCCCCACTTTCTTCAGAAGCATTGGGTGTTGCCTGCAGCCAAATTGGGGACTTTGCCTACAGCCAAGGGTGGGGTGTGCCGATACTCCTGAGGCTAAAACTCAGAGTTTCTTGTCTAAAGAGTCTTTCTCCTCCACTCAGACCAAACCCCACATTTGGGGTCAGAAAGGAATTTTATCCCATGGCTCAAATTGATACAGCCCCTCACCCTCCCTCACAACCACACCTATACCATGCCCACATGCCCCTACAACCCCTCCATACATGCACATACCCACACCCCGCAACATACCCTACACACCCTCACATACACAGCCACACCTCCTTATAAACCCCCCCATACACCCACCATACACACACACCCCCCAACCACACCCCACACACAATGTACAAGAATAAGAGTACAAAGAGTACAAAGGTAATATCAGCACCTTCTTCAATATGTCCCTTTACACATAAGATACCCTCCCTGAATGATCCCTAAGGTTGGCACCTTCATCCTCAAATCCCTTTTCAGGAACAAACTTGTAAAGATTTCACAAACACAATCAATAGCAATTGCTGGTGGCTACGTTTAGAGGCAGCAAGCATAATTAATATCTATTTTATGTCTCTATATAAACATACACATGAACACACTAAAAGGCAGGTACATAAAACTGTATGTATTTTATATCATCTTCCCAAGCTTTCATGTGGCACTAATTCTTGCTTTCCAAACTGTTCAGAACATGAAAATGTGACTTCGTAGGCTTTTTTCCCCTAGCACTTAGCATAATTAAGCCTTTTTCAAGAACACTTGTTGCCAACAACCTGTAGTTAAACAAATCTTTCCAGAAAGCCAGTGCAAATCTTGGAAATTCTCTCACCCTATGGTCAGTAGCTTCATTTTTGAGTCAACAAATGCTGATGTTTCTTTTTACAAAAAATCTAAAAGCAGTATTACTTTCATTAAAGTCAACATCAACTGCACTGGGAGTGCAATTCAATCCAATAAATTGCAACTGTTTTACAGACGAGGCATATAGGTGACGTTATCAGAGAAAAATCTTCATCTTGAATAAATTAGAATGGGATATTCTCCCACTAAAGAGAGATACTTGAAAGTCTTTATTTTCAGTGGAGATGGGGCAGAAAAGGACTTACTGTTACTTTTGTTTTGAGATGTTCTTTATGCCCAATTAAACTATTAAATTGTTAATTATTTCATTTGTCAGATTTATTAAATGCAAGAATTGCCTGCTAATGGAAATAGCAATCCTAAAACTAGGAAGAAAATGCCCAATATTTTTCAGTTCAAATTTTCAGTTCCAGGACCATTAAGAGAACCTTTACAACTTATTCTGGCTACATGTGTGGCCTCTTTCCCAAATGCAATATATGATTTTAAAACCCCTCAAAACTCACCAATCGAAAGGCAGAGATTTTAAATGGATGAAAAACAGGGTCAAAACTATCCCCAATTTACCTCAGATGGCTCCAGATTTGGCTCAAAGTCATGCTTTCCCCAGCTCTAATTCTACTACCTTGTACATACTTCTTAAGGTATAAAAGTCAATAGCATGCTGATATTAAAATAGCTTCTGACAGATAATACACCAAAGTTAAATTATATAAGTACCCCCTCCAAAAACAGTTTATACAACATTTTGAGCATGGATCTACACACGCTATTCAATGATGTAGTAATGTTATTGAAACCATGATGACACCCAGAGAATATGCAAGAAGCAAGATTTATTTGGTAGTACCATTTATTAGACCAACTGTATAGTTGGGAGAGATGTTTGACAAAGATCTTGCTGCTTTGCTGTTCACTGAATTTGTTGTATTGATCCTAATTGGGAGACCAGTCTTGCAAGGTCACAGTTGGGAGACCAATCTTGCAAAGTCACAGTTATTATTTTGATCATTCTAGAGTCTAGACATCTTAGTCATGGAGTGGGTACCCACTGCACTAGGTGTTAAACAAATACAGAATAAAAAAAAATCTCTGTCTTAAAGAATATACAATGTGTATCAAAGACAAGGAAAGACAAGTGGGTACAGATGGGGGAGCACAAGGAGGACAGCATAGTCTAAACTAGGGGTGGGCAAAATCCAGCCCCTGGGTTGGATCTCGCCCGTGAAGGGACTTTGTCCAGCCCACAGCAGTCCCTTGGTCATGCCTGGCCCAGGTGTCATCTACCCTGTGGTGCATCCTGCTGCCCCCTGGGGGCACAGTGGGGCTGGGGCGGCTCCACGGCTGGACTGCCTATCTAGGACTCCTTCCACCTGCCACTGCCGCTGGCCCCAGCCCCATAGTACTGGCAGGAACCCATGTGCACAGCCCCAACCCTGGCTCACTCTGCACCCACTATGGACTCAGCCTAGCAGAATGGACCAGCCAGAACCTGTGCACACAGCCCAGTCTGCCCCCCAGCTTCCTCCAGATTCACCCCGCCACGCTGAGCAACAGCAAGAGCAGTAGCAGCTGGGCAGAAGCTGCTGCTCAGCATGGGGGAGAGTGGCCCCACACTCTCGCTGCTGCTGGGCCATTCTTGCTGAAGCCCTGCGGCTCATCTGCACTGCCACCACTGCCCTGCTGGGTGGCCTGGAGGCAGTGGTGATGGCAGCAAAGAGGAGCCGCAGGGCAGCCCAGGCATGGGCTCTGGGTGGCTACAGCAAAAAGGGCCTGGCAGTGGTGAGGGACCACTTTTACCCCACACTGAGCAGCAGCTTCTGTCTGGCCACTGCTGCTGCTCTGCATGGATGGGTGGTCCAGAGCAGGTGCAGGGTGGGTCAGGGTCGGGGCTATGCGCATGAGTTCTGCCTGGTCCATTCTGGCCAGGGCAAGTCCAGAGTGGGCACAGGCTGGGCCAGGGTCGGGACTGGAGCTGTGCACTGTTGGCAGTGGTGAGGAGGAGCCACAGGGCCCATGGGCTCTGAGCTGTTGGGCTAGGTGGTAGCAACTGGCCCGTGGCAGCTCCCCAGAACTGCCTATGTGGCTCGCAGGCCCAAATAATTGCCCACCTCTGGTCTAAACCCATCAGCAGCCTAACACTGTCTGCAAAAATCTGCAAAGATTTTTTTAGATGTCCTGGTAAAGGAGAGTTCTAGGGAAGGAACTGAAGGAGAAAAAGAATATGGCTTTTTGTTTGCTAAATATGAAGGCAGCTCGGGGAAGGCATAAAAGAAAGAAAGACACAGACAGACAGACAGATAGATATCTTACTTCATATATATATGCCTGAGCTGATCAACAGCAGACATCAAGCTCTCAATACTGATTGAGAGATGAGAGGTAGGGTGGAGAAGGGCTCT